AAAAAAACAGATGAAATACTCCCTGTTGATAAAAATTTTGTTGTTAGTTTTATGTATTGTTAAGAAGGTTGTTTTTCTAATTGTTATTGTTGATATTGTTGACTTCATTGGCTAAATGTTTTGTTCTGAATTTATGGGGTTAACACCTCTTCTAACAAACTATTTGGGATATAGAACTGTTTCGTGTTCTATAGTTGAAGCTTTAAATGTTACGCTGGGAATCGGATTCCCATTAAATTTGCACGTTACTTTCGATTGGTCGAATTTGGATCTTCTCGGGCAGTCATATGGTATTGTTTCTGGTGAAATTTGCAAAACAAGGATTCATTCAAGTAATTTGTTAATGTTGGCTTATGACAAACTTAATTTTGTCGGTAAAATGGTGCCGAGGCCAATAAAGATTTTGTTCTTTTTTATACGGAAATCGTAAAACGAAATTGTTTTCAACAGTTTACATTTTTTTTTGGCTGTGAAAAGATGTTTCAATCAGTTTGTTTATTCTCACTAGCTGCCTTAATTTGTTGACTCTTTCCAGTGGAGTGGAAGTTTTATTTTTTGCAGGTTAATTTTAAGAAGAAGAAGGAAAAGTATATTTCGCCCATTTTCAAACTCTCCTAAGCACCGAACTAAGCAGTATCTCATTATAATTTCTGGAGTATAAAATTCTATATTTGTTGAATAGAATTTATATAGTAATTGAAGGAAACTTGCTGAAGATGCAGTTAAAATTAATTTTAGCTGAACAGAAAATATACTTTCGAGTTTAAAATTAAACTTTGTCATCAGTATAAAGTTACGTCGCTTTAGTTTAACGAGGAGTTGTTTTGACCACGTCACATTAGTGAACAACAGTTTATCTAGCAGAACGATAGTTGTTAGACATTAAAGAACGAAACAGAAGGTTAGACCAAAATTGTATGTTGACTTGGGCCAGTATCACGTCGTTTTTGGTAAATACAGAAAAGGCAAGTTTTTAACTATTTTTTCATTTTTCGAATTGAAAAGCAATGCAAAATGCAAATTGTTGACTTCTTTTTAAAGGAAGCTTTCACAATTAGACGCAAACCTAATTTTGCTAACAGTTTGAATGAAGTCTAAATTTTCAGTCCAATTTCATCGGTCCTCACTTACGCTGCCTAATTTTTGCTGATTTTATTAGGTAACGCAGAATAGACAATAAAGAAAATTGGTGGACTTCTTTTGATGTAAAGTCTTCTACATCGTTGACTAAAGTTGTAAAAAATGTTTTTCTAAATAAACAGAAAAAACTTATTGTATTTTCTGTTTCAATTACCGAATCAGAAAGCTTTGCGGCGAACAGACTTCATAAAAAATTTTAGAAGTTTTTTTTTGTGGTATATGTCAACAAACCAAAAAATTATTTGAAAAATTGTCTTCTTAATTAAAAGTCGCTTCAATTATAAGACAACAAAAAGATTCTTATTCAAAATGTTACAGTGTACGAATGCGAATGGGTTTGAAAAAAGCATCTTACACCTTTGCTGATAAAACGGTCAATGACTTACCCTTTTTTTTGAGTTTTGGAATGATTCTCGTGATGATCAAAAATAAAATTATTCAGGATGCATTATTGTTGCTACTGATGTTTAAATTTTTTAAGCTGTTTGAAAATTTTGAATTCCTTTTTTTTTTCTTTACTTTTTTGCATTTCCAGCAAAAATATGCATTTTTGAAACTACCTTTCGCGTGATCTTAATCATTAAAAGTAAAAAATGAAATAAAGAAACTAAAAAGTGGTCAGGTGGATCTGAATACCGATAGCTCACTCACTTTCTGTGAAAAGCTTTCATTTTTTCTTTTATTAATTGTATTTTTGGCCTCTTTTTTGTTCAGAAGTTTTGCTTACCTGACTTAAATAAATTTTAAATGTAATTTCCAATTGTTTACTCTCATCTTTTTTAATTTTGAATCTTTTTAGTCTACAAATATTCTATAATATTTTTTAGATGACTCCTTCTGTGGTTGGATTATACAGAGGGAATCAGTGACTGTTAGTCTTCCCATAGAAAATAATAATATTGCTCTTTATTTAGTAGGCTCAATCCTAGTTCATTTCAATTATTGTGAATTAAAGGTTGTTGGTTTCAAGGTTAGAAAAACAGATTTGAAGCGTCGTCAAAGTGGCTCGAACTAGAGGCTTTTTTCAGCAGTTGGTGTTCTTAATTTGTCTTATTTTGGTAGTATCATTTGCGTTTTTGGGAAGAAGACCTTTAACTGGACTATTTATTTGACATAATGTATGTAAATTCTACTTTTTTTTTTTTTTTTTTTTTTTTTTTTTTTTT